ACAACTTGTAGTTGGAGGGGTTGAGAAGCCAATGTGGCGTTTATAGCTGGTCTTGTTCAAGAGTATGTCCGGGAAGCTTCCGTAGTTGGACTTTATCCGTCCGTCTTCTACATAAGCCGAGAAATCAAGAATGAGTACTAGCTGTAAGGACTTACTTGCAGTGTATCGTGATTTTCCAGTCTCTCTTCGATGGCTTGTTATTACGTTCCCTTGCAATGTTGCAACCCTTCAGTTCTTCCTTGTCTCCAAGTGAGACCACAAGTGGTCAGGTCCCACGCAATCCAGTCTTGATGAGATCAATTCAACTGTACACTAATTCACAATAGTGGAAAGAACTTATTATTAAAACTCAGCTAGCTAAACGACTCATCTCTCCGGTCCTCCTCCGTGAGAGTTGGTCGTGACTTATCCTTCACTGTAAGAAGTATTTGGAAAGAGTAAGTGAGGGTACATTACGTAGTCCCTTCTTAAAATGATTCACTGATCCCGCTCCACTTGGGATCCCTTCTTCCTTTATTAATTAACCAATCAGTGGTTGATCTTGGGTCGCACAATAGATCATGCACGCCTTCATTTCCACTTTCTTCCGGGCTCAGTTCCGAATTTGCTAATTGGGAAAGTGTCGGAAGGTGGCGAGCCTTTTTCATTGGTCACCTCTCTTTGGTTGCCTCATCCCTCTCTGGGACTTGGCTAGAAGAAGGGTCCGCTTGGGCGTGGTCAATTTTCCAATACGATCGACCAGATGTGGCATAGCCAAGAACAATGCAAGCATTGTCTTAAAGGCCGAGTGCGCACGTATGGTCATTGCATGTGTAGTACGTACGGGTTTTCGGTTGCAGTAAATATTTGTACTCAATGCTTCACGCATATCTGATATTCGTTCTGAATCTACTTTGGGGTTCTCGCGGCAGTAAACCCATTAGGTTCTACTGCACTGGGAGTATGAGCACGTTCCACTAGAGTTTTCCAGATGTTTTATGACACTAGTACAAATAATTATGAGCAGAAAGTTTTGAAGTCTTAAATACAATTTTCATGACATTACTTGTCAGATATTTTATTGCCTTATTAAACGGAGTCTCTTATTCTCAAACACACCTGTTAGTGATTTTTTTAGGTAATAAAGTTTTTGTACCTTGCTATATTTTTGTTATTAGTAACTGTTGAAATAAACAAATTCCGGAACATGGACCATCAGCTCCTGGCAACAGCTCATGTCTATTTCTATTTTTATCCCGGTGATCTTAAGCACTGCGTGTTTGATTCCTTTGTGTTTCTCAGCTTGGATAGCAATTGATATATTTTTAAAATCACATCTAAATACAGAATGAATTCTTCTTCTAGGACAGCGTCTGCACTATACTCAAGTGAATTCATTATTATTATCGGCCACGTTAACATAAGATAATGTTGTTTAACAAATGTAGTGTTTAATGTTTCTACTAATTCTTTTAAACCCATTGTTTCCGCTAATGATGTGATGTAATGAGTTATAGGAATTAGTCGTGCTAACTTCTTTAATAAGTGTATTCGAAGGCGTTGAGCTCTGATCTTAGCGTTAAGCTCTGACGGATGTCTGTCTTTAGCACTACTGCAAGTTACATAAGTTTCATTATCTTGAGTGATAGATGTGTTAGCATTAGTGTACTTGGATTGACTTTCTCCTTGTTGTGACATTTTCAGAAATAATATAACGTTAGAAATGAAAATTGTTGTTGAGTACTCACTTGTCCTGAAGATTCAAGAGTATTCCTTGATATTTTAGAAATTATTAAGTCTTCTTTATATAACAGTTCTTCTTGTGTAAATACTTATTAATATAATAACTTCCACTTGTTCGGCTCAGAGGACAAATGTCTGATGAGCCCGTTTCTCTGCCTATCCGGCTCAAAGGACTAAAACATATACAAAATGCATTCGCCGTTCCGGCTTGTTTTACCAACATGAAATCTAAAAGACAAATTGTTGTTTTGCCAAATGTTATATTGCATTAAAAAAAAAGATCTCGCAATCTCAAACAGATAATATTATTTTAAACTATGTTATGTAATATGATACTATAATTTTATATTATTTTGCATCCTAATAATAACTTTAATATATTTAATTGTTGTTGTAATCCTATTGAAGTGGATATTAAAATATAAAGTTAGTTAATTTAAAAATTTTATTAATAAATTTTTAAAATGAATATAAATTTTATAATAGTTAAGTTTCATTAAATTAAAATATTAATATTTCAGGTGGATTATTTCATTCAATAGATAATAAACAAGAAATAGCTTTTCGATATGCTGTTGAAAAAATTAATGGAAATAGAAATATCTTACCAAAATCAAGATTGAGTGCACAAATAGAAGAAATTACCCCTCAAGATAGTTTTCATGCATCGAAACGAGGTAATTAATTAAATTGTTTTTTTAATTTTAATAATTTATTTTATCTACATATAAATTAAGATCTAATATTATTTTTAAATTATTGTTTTAAAATATTTTTTTAAGATATAATATTGTCTACATAAATATAAAAACTTGCGAATGAACAAATATACATCTATTAAAATTATAACAAATATTTTATAATTATAATAATAATAATAACAATTGTTTGAGAATGAGAGACTCCGTTTAGTAAGGCAATAAAATATCTAACAAGTAATATCATGAAAATTGTATTTAAGACTTCAAAACTTTCTGCTCATAATTATTTGTACTAGTGTCATAAAACATCTGGAAAACTCTAGTGGAACGTGCTCATACTCCCAGTGCAGTAGAACCTAATGGGTTTACTGCCGGGAGAACCCCAAAGTAGATTCAGAACGAATATCAGATATGCGTAAAGCATTGAGTACAAA